TTCCTTCCTCCCTCCCTCCCTCCCTCCCTCCCTCCCTCCCTCCCTCCCTCCCTCCCTTCCTTCCTTCCACTGGCCAGGGTGGAAATCATGCCTTGAAGGATTTCCAGCACTTTAAAAAGTAACAAAACTGCATCCTTTGTTTTTTGCATGGAGGGATGGGCAACCTCTAGGCTAGGGTTTCCCAAAGTATGAGGTGTACCTACCTTGGGTAAATGCAGAGTCCGGAGGAATTATGAAGAACCTCTTAATTACATTGTTAGAATAAGTCTACCTTTCCCCAAGTTTCATCGCGTTGTTTTCATTGTTCATTTGTGTTCATTCTGGTGTTTTAATTTTTTAAGGGACATGTGTACAATAAGATTACACTAAAGGGAGATATGATGGCAGAAAGTTTAGGGACCCATGCTTTAGAAACTATACCCAAAAATGAATTAAGTGCTAAGCCCTAAAGTTTTTTCTTTTGCTTACATTTTTCTTAGTATAATATGTAAATTGGGCAATACAGATTGTAGCCATGTCGGACATATTCTGATCATAACTTCCACTATCATTTTAGAAATTACAAGGGTATTATTTATTTGGTAAATCTCTATAGCCATCCATTTCACATAAACATGGGACTATGACACTGAGTAGTATACAAAATTAAAACACAAAACAATATGACATCCATTTCCTGATAACCTTACCCCTGACTATGGATGACCTCACCCAATGGTTTCATGTAGTTGTTAAGCATTATTGAATCCAGTGGCACCTCACAATGTAGGGGCCACTTGTATGATTCCTTGCTCCTGATCAACACCTGAATGGAATCAGCCATGAAGGAAGAACAGTGATGTCCACCCCACAACTCTCACAATCACTCCACAAGGTCATGCTATACCCAGTGGTACTGAAGGCCTCTGGTGGCGCAGCAGTTAGAGTGCAGTACTGCAGGCCACTTTAGCTGACTGTGTTCAGCAGGTCAGCGGTTCAAATCTCACCGGCTCAAGGTTGACTCAGCCTTCCATCCTTCCGAGGTAGGTAAAATGAGGACCCAGATTGTTGGGGGCAATGTAAATATATACATACATTGCTTACTTGTGTACACCGCTTAGAAAGTGCTTGCACTTAAAGCGGTATATAAGTCTCATAAAATAAAAATAAATAAAATAAAATAAAATAAATAAATCAGGTCAAGTAGAGCAAGGATGGCTATACTATTCCCCACCCCCACCCCCACATGGCTCCTTCCAGAGGTCATCTGAAAGCATCACCAATGCTGTTTCAGTTCCACATCCAGGCCTGAAACCCAACTGGCAGGGGTCCAGGATGACACGTTTCATTGATGATCCACTAAAACTGCTGAATCACCACTTTCTCAACAATATTGGACATTGGACTCACATAATCAGTTCCAGATGGCTGCAAAATGTCTTCTTGTTTGTAACTTGTTTACTCATACTCTAAATCAGGCAGATCTAACCCGCAGCCCACAGGCTGTATGCAAACCTGGACAGCTGGGAATGCAGCACAACAAGATTGTAAACTTTTTAACACTATTTACACACACAGACACATTAACTATACTATACTATATAGACACATTAACTATACTATATAGTTAATGTGTATATATTTTATATACAGCCCAAGACAAAAAGACGGGCCTGTTCTAAATATTCTCTAGCTGTTTCAGTGCTGATGGTGTCTTTTTATATCAGATAGTATTATGTAACATTGGCTCAATGAATCCAGGCTGAAAATCCAATCCAATTTAAGTCACTCCAGACCTAATCTAAACTGACTTTTTTTTTTTGATAAAGCAGAATGGATGTTAAAAGAATTATCATACATCTTGAATGAAATGGAGCTAATTGCCAGGGATTCAGGCAAAAGTATCAAAAATGAAATACTCATCATTCCCCCAAAATGAACTTGTTGCAAGACCAAGGGTACATATAAACGTGGCCAGAAGTATTGCTACCCCTCCCGTTTCCCTCAAGAACTCATTTGCAGTGAAATAAGTTGATAACTGGCACAAGTAAATGGCATCCACCATTCTTTGTCGTGGTGTTTGCTCTATAGACCGGGGTCTTCAAACCTTGGCCTTTTATGACTTGTGGACTTCAACTCCCAGAATTCCTCAGCCAGCCATGCTGGGAGTTGAAGTCTACAAGTCATAAAAGGGCCAGGTTTGAAGACCCATGCTATAGACTATGAAAAAAAAATGATGAATGCCTTCCATCATTTATTTGCCATCTAGAGCTTTCTGGAGGGCAAGAATTAGATCAGAGTAGGTTCAAATACATCCACTCTGGTTTGCTAAATTAAAATCCATTCTGAGTTGACTCTGATCTGCTTTAGGATCTGGGCTTGGCCAATGCAATGCATGTGCCTGTAACATTTCAGCTAAATTGTGAACAATGTTCAAAATCCAGTGTTGGAGCACTCGCAGTATCTCCTGATATGATTACCAAGTTATGTACATAAGTTTCATTTCTAGCCATCAGATCAGAACAGACAATTTGATCTCTTTTATTGCAGCCCTAGGAATCTGATCTAATCACAGTTACGTAAACATGATCATATGGGGTTGGTTTTGTTTTTTTTTTTACTTTTTGAAATGGCAACACCCAAAAGTATTCATATTCACCTTAAAATTGGGGGAAATGGTTAAAAAGACAAAGACAGAAGCTGAAGCTCAGGAAAAATAAAATCTCCATCCTGACCACAGTTGTGGCATATTTCCTATATTCTCCAACCCTTTGAATTATTAGCCATCTATCATGTCGCCACCCTTTCCAAAATTGTGATGTGCGTTGTTTGGCTTCCTAAACACTTGTCCATCGTTGACCTAGTCCTAGATCAGGGGTTCTCAACCTTGGCAACTTTAAGACTTGTGGACTTCAACTCCCAGAATTCCTGAAGTCCACAAGTCTTAAAGTTGCCAAGGTTGAGAACCCCTGTCCTAGATGATGGGAATAACATACATGAACTTGCAGAAGCCTTGTGAAATATATGTAATGGTACCAAAGGTGTTCATGATAAATGTATGGAGAGATATGTTATTGTTACATCCTTAGTAAGCCCATTCTTCTGTTTTTAGTCCTTTGTGTGGCTTCTCAATAGTATCAAAGCAACAAAGTCTGACAATATCTGTGGCTTCAGAGGTGCACTTCAAAACTTAGAGCTATGTGGTAATAGCCATAAATGGCAACATTTAAAATGCCCCTTTGAGGTCCCATTTGCAAGTGTTCCCTTTGCTTATTTTAGATAACAGAATAACAGAACTTGAGGGGACCTTGGAGGTCTTCTAGTCCAAACCCCTGCTCAAGCAGGAGACCCTATAACATTCCAGACAAGTGGCTGTCCAGTCTCTTCTTAAAAACCTCCAGTGATGGAACACCTGCAACTTCTGGTTAATTATTCCCACTGTTAGGAAATTTCTCCTTAATTCCAGGTTGCTTCTCACATTGATCAGTTTCCAACCATTGTTTCTTGCCCTTCCCTTTGGTGCTTTGGAAAATAAGTTGACACCCTCATCTTTGTGGCAGCCCCTCAAATACTGGAATACTGCGATCATAGCATTCCTAGTCCTTCTTTTCATTAGACTAGACTAGGGGTCCTCAATCCCTGAGCCATGGACTGGCACTGGGCCATGGCATGCCAGAAACTGGGCCGCACAAACAAGGGAAGCCCATCCATGCGATGCAGGCAGCAGGCAAAACCACGCCCCCTCTGGCCTGTAGATACCTCTCTCCATGGAACTGGTCCCTAATGCAAATCATCTTTGTTGCTCTTTTCTGCACTCTTTCCAGCATCTTTTTTATAATATGGTGACCGAAACTGGATGCAGCATTCTAAATGTAGTCTTACTAAGGCGTTATAAAGCAGTACTAATACATCATGTTATCTTGATTCTATCCCTCTGTTAATGCAACCTAGGATAAATAATAAATATTAAATAAATAATGTATGATCTAGTTGCTTGAGTTTTGTTTGGCATGTGTGACTTATAAATGATGTCTTAGCACAGTGTATAAATCCTGCCAATTGTGGTTTATTCAATAGACCACAGTAACATCCTATTTGGTAGTTCTGGCTTTTGTTACTGTGAGGCAAAGAGTCTACATGAACTTGAAGATGCTGTCAGGGATAGCTTATTCCACTTGTAATTGGATCTATTTCCCAGAGGCAAAGAACAATATTTTCTTGGTCTACTGTTCTGGCTACAGCCAATGCATAGTTCATGTATATATGACTTAGTAGATACCTATATAAAACAATGTGCAATAAAAACCACTAGATGGTAGTATTGTAGACAGGAATACTGGAAGCCCTATTCATCATGACAAATTATTCAAAGATGTTGAATCTGATTTAGTCCTTGTGAATTTTGGCATGCTTGCCGTTTTGCCTCCAATTCACAAATTTGCTAATTTCTTGAGCATGTATACCACCTTCAGAGTGTCATTTTCTTTAAAGATTCAAAGCTTCTAGTTCTCAGGGAGTCCTTTTTTACTCAAGGTCCCAGTCCTTGACATCTGTTTTCACTTTCAGGTAGGATAAAAGAAACTCTCCCAAACACATTGGGGAATGTCTGCTTCCCATTATCAACAAAAATAAAGCTGGGTTGCTAGACCAGGGGCCTGACTCGCTATAAGGTAGTTTCCTTTGTTCCTAAGAAAACAGCACAAAAGTAAGAAAAGAGAGGAATAAAAACAAATGAATTAACATTTCTTCTAATTAATTGAAAGAGAAAATAGCAAGGAGGTTCCATAATGCTGAAAGAAGTGCTGATACAGTCACCTTCCAGATAACCTTTGCTTTCCAAAAATGCTATAGATGTGGAGATAGATAGATAGATAGATAGATAGGTAGGTAGGTAGGTAGATAGATAGGTAGGTATAGATAGATAGATAGATAGATAGATAGATAGATAGATAGATAGTTAGATAGATAGATAGTTAGGTAAGTAGAGATAGATAGATAGATAGATAGATAGATAGATAGATAGATAGATAGATAGATAGATAGATCTTAACCTATTGGGGTAGGACATGATGGGACATGAAAGGTCAGTTTAATACTTAGAGCCTAGTATCAGATTAAACGAATGCTTTTCTTTCAGGATTGTGTGAGGTGGCTTCCCAAATCTCCTAAACTACACGGGAGCCATAACTGGAATTCTCAGGGCTCTCACTGGGCTTCCCTCAAGGGAAAAGAAAACATCCAGGGATTGAAACTCTACAAATTCAGCTCAGTCAATGAAAACCGGAAGGAAGGCCGAATCAGTCCTGAGCAAGAAGCTGAAGGATTGGAAGATCCAGATGAAGATGTGAGTTGCTATCATTATGCTTCGTCTTACAGTCAGCCAGATGTTTAGACTGGATTTGGCATTTTTATTAACCTATCGAGTCCTTCCCTAGGACTTGGCGTAGTAGATGTTGTTCTTTAGTAATATTAAAGATTATTGCAAGATGTGAGCTGATCCAAGTAAAGCTGCCTTTTGCAGTTGGTGATTTGTCAATGCAGATGATGTTCAAATGGTGCTCCGATTGTTTTGGGATTGCCCCCAAGGTACCCATGACTATTGGTCCTACCTTTGCTTTCTTTTGCCACAGTCACTCTATTTCTGTTTACAGGTCTTTGTATTTTGTGATTTTTTCTTCAGTTCTTTCACTTCTATTCTCCAGATACTGCGGTATCCACTATCCAGACTTTTTTCTCTCTCTTAGTTTATTAAATTTATTTACTGCCTTTCTGATCGTGGGGCTACTCCAGCTGGTACTACTCTAGTGCTTATCAACATTATTAAGTCTGCATGTTATGTGGCAGGTGCCTGCCTGTTTGATTTATTATTATTATTATTAATTATGATAACTATATTTGATTGATTTAATATTAAAGTAAGTAAAATCAAGTTTAAGTGTTGGACCAGAATCACTCTTTTTGGGGAAGGGGCAGGGAATGAGATCCCTTGAAACATGATTATAAAACATGAGATGTCCTTGGCCAGAAAAGTCCTGACTGAAAGAAACAGAAAAATGCACTAACTTGGAATCTGAATTGATCTCTGACTGTCAGACACCATTCAATGCAATGCATCAAAATAAGTACAGTAGTAATATATGTTCTCTATATTCTAGGGCAGTGGTTCTCAACCCTTTTAATGCCGCGACCCCCGACCGGTCATAAGTCGAGGACTACTCATCCGGTTGTAAGTCGAGGACTACTCAACTGGTGCAGCACCGTTTGCAGAATGGGACTTTTGGCGGGCTCAGCAGGGCAGAGACAGCCTGGACAATTCCTATTGGCTTTTGAAAGCCAATAGAATTAGACTCTATTCAAGAGAGTCTATTCTATTGGCTTTCAAAAGCCAATAGAATAAAAGGGAGTAGCACAGCTAAGGAAAAGGGGGGAAAAATGGCGGACTGTGTTGTTTGGCGACCCCCGTGAAATGGTCGTTTGACCCCAAATGGGATCCCGACCCACAGGTTGAGAACACTGTTCTAGGGAGAACTATATTTTAAACTGTACTATTAAATATATTAGTATGGCCTTACAGAGGAAACCCAAGCTTTGTGTTTCTACTTTAGATACGATTAATACTAACCTTCAAGCTACAATTAATCTATGCTTAAGCTATGGTGAGTGAAAACAGTCCCATGAACTGTACCTGTAGATGTCTTGCTTCCATTAGTCATAAAAAAGACTAGCCATAGTTAGAATGAATCAGATGCTATTATAGTAACTTTTAGTTATTGTAATAAAACAGAAAAATACCACAATCAACTGATCTTATAGGCAGGTACACAGAATCTTAGTTAAAAGGGACAATATAGGTCAGGAATCCCAATGCTCTGCTCAGTGCAGAAATCCAAAATAAACTTTATTAATACGCCAGTCATTTGTAAGTGACTCACAAAGCCTCCACTTGAACACAACAAAAAGCTCTCCCACTTCTCTGAGCAACCGGGTGCCTTGTCAGACTGATGGTATGTTTACAATGTTTTTTCCCCCTAACATCTGCCTTTTTGTAATGGAATGCGGGTGTGACCTTGAAAGACTGGGCAGAGAACCTGCCAAGGGTAGCATCTGATAAGAGACAGTATAGCCCGCAGTTGGATCATGGGTGGGGCAAGAAGCTCAGAAGAGACTTTCTCAGGCTGTAGAGAAGAACAGGGAGGAAGGGGAAAAGTGCACTTCAGACTTGAAAGAGTGATGTCAGTCTCTCAAGGCAAACCAGATGGGCAACACAGCCAGATGAGTTAATTCTATTTTATCATAAAGTTACATTGACAGAATCTTGCAAGTTTGAAAGCACATTTCTTCCCCCATCTCTTTTTCAGCCTGAGGAACTACAGAGGGTCTCTTGCCTCACCCAGGCTATGCTATCTCTTATGACCATTCCCTTGGCAGTGTCTCTTTGCCCAGTCTCCTAAGGTCATTCGCACGTACCCTCACACTTTCTGGGATTTAAATCCATTTCCCGGGAACAGATCTTCAGCTTCTTTTATATGTGACATCCTTTGAGGTATTAGAATTCATATCCAGATTCAGTCACTTTTTCTCAAGGCTAATCATAGCCAGCCATCATCACTTTTAATCTTCCTTCCTAGAATTTAGTTTCCAATACCCTCTTGTATTTCTGTCCTTCTCTGAACCTCTTTCAGTTTCTCTGCAAGCTTTGTAAAACACAATGCCAAGAACAGAGAAGGGAGGGGAGTCTGAAGGACAATTCTTCCCCTGACTGAAGATTATTTTTCTATTGATGAAACCTAAAACTGCATTTGCCTTTTTTTTTTTTTTGCAGCTTTTGGTTCATATTCAGTCAGTAGTCAATTATATTCCAAATTTCTCCCCCAGAGGTATTACCTAGCAAGATATTCGCATTTGTTTGTTTTGTTTTCTTTTAAGGGAGGAAGCTTGCTTTCGCTTATATTCAATTTTATTCTGTTACTTTCAGCTCACTGCTCTAGCCTAACAAGGATGTTTTGAATTTGATTTCTATCTTCTTTGGGTATTAGCTGTTCCACACAATTCTTTTATCATCTGCAAATTTGTCACTATTCTTTATCCAAGTCCCGAATTAAAACAAATACTGATAAGTACATGACCTAGGACAGTAATCTCATTTGATAATTGAGGACCACCTTTGGAGTACAGTTTTCAAGCCAATTCTGTATTCTCTTGCTAGTTAGGCTACTCTTAATGCTTGTTACTAGAAAAGCCAGAGTTTATTTTTCAAATGCTCTGCTGTAATTAAGAGAGAGAAAGAGAGCATGAGAATGAATACATTTGTTGGATGGAGACATTTTCCCTCCTCCGCAGTTTTCCAATATTTCTTGTAGAGAGTATGAAAAGGTTCAGCTAGACCAGGGGTAGGCAACCTTGGCTCTTTTATGACTTGTGGACTTCAACTCCCAGATATTGGCTGGCTCAGGAATTCTGGGAGTTGAAGTCCACGAGTCATAAAAGAGCCAAGGTTGCCTACCCCTGAGCTAGACTATCAGCTTCATGCCTTCCGTTTGAGAGTTGCTCAAACATGTTTCTATCCATCTTGGGTGAATCTGCACTTACCATTCCAGCTGTTTCTGTCTTGTACTCATGCTAGTTTGTTTCTCAGCTGGTTTAGGAAAATTCTGCATGGATTGAGAGCCTGGCAAAGTATTCGGGCTGCAGATTCCTTCCGCCGAAGAATTTCCTGGCTGCAGAGCCCTTCTACCTTTCTTTTCTAGGAAAGCAATTGCTGGCATTTTCCTTCTTGTGGCCAGGTCTTCCTGCAAATTTATATTTGTTTGTGTGTGTGTGTGTCTCGTCAATGAATACGTATAGACACGCTTCATACACATACATTGCACAATGGAGTTACATTTATATATAGACATCAAAATGCACAAGCAGCTTTTTTTTAAAAAAACAACACCTTCTTTCCAGCATGTGGTCTACACCAGGGCTTTTCAACCAGTGGTACGGGTACCACCTGTGGTACATTGGCACCTGGCAGGTGGTACGCAACCATCCTAGAAAAGTGGTAGCGGGAAGGGGAATGAGCTAAACAGCACCGGACAAGCCTGAGCGAGAGAAGGCTGGAGCTGCATGGCTGTCAGGGTTTAGCGGAAGCACCAGAATCAGTGCAAGTCTCCAGCTGGAGCTCGGCGCTGATCCTGATGCTTCTGCTGAGTCCAAAAGAAGCACCGATCAGCTGGAATGTGGCAGCATCTCCAGGGTCTTGTGATTTACATTCAGATGTTTGGCAACTGATTCATATTTATGACAGTCACAGTGTCCCAGGGTCATGTGAAGTGACCAAAACCTGGTGCAACCACCCAGCAGATGGGGGGAATAAAAACCAAACACTCCTACCCCACCCCCACTGCCAATCCTCAACAGAAATGCTCACAACAATGAAAACCTCAGACAGGAGGAAGAGCACTGCTGGACGGGCAGGCAGGTGTCTTGCTCAGCTGTGGCTTGGGGGGCACTTTTTTCAGTGCCATTGTAACTTTGAACAGTCACTAAGCGAACTGTTGTAAGTTGAGGACTACCTGTACTTTATCACTTTTTTCCTTTTGGGGGGGGGTCATCACGTTTTTGACACCTTGCTAGGCGACTGGTGGTACTCGGATATTGCCATCCTAAAAGTGGTACAATGGGTGAAAAGGTTGAAAAGCCCTGGTCTATGCCTCCCATTACTGTGGAAAAAATCTAGTATTTCAGATCCTTCTTGTTCAATATAGACCTACAGTAGCAGATTTCTTCCCCCCTTTTCTTGTGGATCTAAAATTTGCCCTGATTCCCCCCCACCCTTAAGTCTAGGCTTGTACCTTTTGAAAACCTCTTATCTTGGGTAATTAAAAAAAAGTAGAAAAAAAATTCTTTAGACTTAAAGTATTTTTTTAAAAAAACACAAACAGCAGGAAGTTGCCAGTAAACTTGGCAATTTTGGAAGTTGTCTCTCTGATTTGCATTTTGAAGTGTTATCATTTTCTCCCCATGAATGGTCAAAACCTGCTTTCATCTGCAAGGGCCTAAAGTTGTTTTTCACCTGCCAATCGATCGGCTGGGGGCTGCTTAATGAATTTCAACACAAGATTTGGAAGTTCATCCAACACATCGCTTGAGAGGAGCTCTGCAGGTTCTTGGGAGGAAAATAAGCTGGAGGAAAAAGTCTGCTTCAGAGGAAATATGGTGACAGTTTGCTATGCCACCCCCCCAACCCCCAATGATCGGAGGAATAAGAGACCCCCACAGCTTGCAGCAAAAGTTTGCTTAGCAGAAGGACGTCATCAGTTGAACACCCCATTGGCTACAGAGCTTCTGTGTTAGGCTACAGCTAGCTCCTTCCCCAAAAATCTTTCAGTCCAGGCTTCCCATTGGCTAACTCAGACCTGGATGATCCAATCAACAACCCAGTCTGCCTGTCAGTTCTGTTGGTTAACATAGAGATGACTTAAGCAGCTTTCCTGAATATGGCCCCAGCTTGCTCCAACTCTTAGGGTCTTCAAGCCCTTGGGGATTCACAACCCAAAAAGCAGCGTCCTCAGAGTCTTGGGAGGCAGCTTTATTGCAAGGGAAAGGGTTAGAGAATCTTGCAAGCTGGAGATGCAAGTCCTGGCACTCATTTATTAGTGAGGCTTCCCTGTGATGCATGATTGTTGTTTTTTTAACTCAGTCTTGACTGAATGGGGAGAATAATGCTAATTCCTGATATCACAGACATATCCGTCTATTTCTTTCTGTAATACAGATGGTTCTTGACTTACGACCATAATTAAAGCCAAACTTTCTGTTGCAAGTGACACAATTGTTAAGTGAGTTTTGCTCCATTTTACTACCTTTCTTGTCACCGTTGTTCAGTGAATCTCTGCAGGTGTTGTTAGTAACACGGTTGTTAAGTGAATCTGGCTTCTCCATTGACTTTGTCAGAAGGTTGGAAAAGGTGATCACATGACACTGTGGGACACTGAAACCGTCATAAATATGAGCCAGTTGTCAAGCTTCCTAATTTTGAACACGTGATTATGGGGATGCTGCAATAGTTGTAAGTGTGAAAAATGTCCGTAAGTCACTTTTTTCAGTGTTCTACCTCCTGTTCTGAAGTATTCCTTTTTCTTCCCCCAAATAGTCCCTGCCTGTTTCATCTGCAAAGATGAAGTTATTTCCATCAAGGCAGGATAACTTCAGTGTCTTTTGCTTCTGATTGTTACTTTCACCCATGGATCCATTCCCGCAGTTGTTTTTCCTTTCTTAAGTCTGACAGATCCTCATTCTTCCTCATAAGTGGAAATTTGCTCCTCCACCCCTCCAATTCTTTGTGGGTTTCTTCCATATCTATCAGGAGCTGCCCAAACACTTTTTCAGCCAGAAAGATAAGAATACCCCAAGCACCGAAGTTCACAAGTGCAGACTCCAGGCCATTTCTCTTCACTTTTGGTAATGAAAGAATTGTATTTCTACTTGATTTCTCAAGCTCTCGAGTTAGCCAAGTGCAAAATTTATTATGGCATCCATCTTAAACTATCCTGACCAATTGCTTTCAATTCTCCCTATTCTCTGACTTAGGAAACATAATTAAAATGTAAAATCCTCCTCATAGTCAGACGTCTTTCTGAGACCCACTGTAGCTTCTCCTACGCTCAAGTACTGCTGAATGCTGAATATACTGTATTTTTTAAAATGATCAGATGGCCATGTTTATGACACAACACAGAGTGTCTCTGTTTTTTGTATGCTCAGCTTTCTTGGAATACAATATCTGAGGTAATGAGACAACGGTAACTCATAGATTGTGCAACCATAACGGGAAGACAATTGCTAAGACCTTCGAAGGACGAGATACTGTCAGTGTCACAAATTGTGGACTGTATTCATGTCATTATAGTAGGCACATTGTCACATTTGCTCTTCCCCCCTCACCCTCAAATAGTCCTCGAATTACAGTGATTTGTTTAGTGTCCATTTGAAGTTACAATGGCATTGTAAAAAGTGATTTTTGACTTTTTTCACACGCTATTAGCAGCATCCCTGTGGTCATGTGGTCAAAATTCAAAAGCTTAGCAACTAGCAAGTATTTATGACAGTCGCAGTGTCCTGGGGTCATGTGATCACCTTTTGTGACCATTGACAAGCAAAGTCAATGGGGAAGCCAGATTCACTTAACAACCGTGTTACTAATTTAAGAACTGCAGCGATTTATTTAATATTTCTGGCAAGAAACATCATTAAATGGGGTAAGACTCACTTAACAACTGTCTTGCTTAGCAATGGAAATTTTGGGCTCAGTTGTAGTTGGAAGTCGAGGAGTTCCTGTATTTGAAGAGTGACTATTATTACTTCATTAAATACAAACTGAAAACTCATATTTTTACCCAGGCCTTCCCTATATGAACAGTAATCTTTTATTTTCTTTCCCTCGCCCCAGCAATTTTGAACAGACGTATTTTATTTCTGATTATTTCAACCTATTATGAAATTGCTTCAAAATATAGAAAGGTTATCGAAAATGTTTAAAATGAGTAACAAATGACCAAAGACTCTTTCATCACCGTATGGAGAAGAATCTTGCCTTTCTCTTCAGGTTTATTCAAGTGCCTTTTGACCGTGACCCATTCAGTGACTGCTATGTTTCCTGTCCCTTTATAGGAACCAATATCTAAATTTTCTGGGAGCCTCTTTGCTTCGAGTGAGAGCATTAGAAGTCAGAGAAATGCAAGTACTCCACAAGAGAAGCAGAAGATTGCAACAAAACCCAAACGCTGCCCAGCCACCAACCATAAGCAGCAAGTTACAAACCACATTGCACCTGAGGGCAAAAAGGTCTCCAAGCAAAACAAGGGCCGAACCCCAGGCAGCTCGGAGGCCACCCAGCCACTCCTGAAGGTAACTCATTAGCAGGAACTTTCAGTTTAGACAATTATTAATTTACTTTTCTCTCTAGTCACTCTCTAGAAGAGGCTCATTTGCTGACAATGCAATGCAGTCAGCATGTCCCCAGCCCATGAACCCTCTAGACCAGTGGTTCTCAACCTTTTTAATGCCGCGACCCCCAACCGGTCGTAAGTCGAGGACTACCCAACCGGTCGTAAGTTGAGGACTATCCAACCGGTCATAAATTGAGGACTTTCCCTGCCCGGGAGCGCCACACATGCGTGGCGCCGCCCCCTGCGCTGGCCGAGGCATAGCTGGCAAGCGGCAGAGACGGAGCAGGCCGACCACCGGCTGGGCCACCAGCTGGCCCAGCCCAAGGGAGGTAAGGCACCCGCCGGGCCCCACGTGCACCAGCAACCCTCCCTGTGCCCGCCGGCCTCCCACCCTGGCCCTCTTTTACTTACATTTTTAGTAGTTGCTCAGCAGGGAGGGGTGGAAACTTCCAGACAGCTCGCCTTTGCTGCAGACAACTTGCAGCACCGTTTGCAGAATGGGACTTTTGGCGGGCTCAGCAGGGCAGAGACAGCCTGGACAATTCCTATTGGCTTTTGAAAGCCAATAGAATTAGACTCTATTCAAGAGAGTCTATTCTATTGGCTTTCAAAAGCCAACAGAATAAAAGGGAGTAGCACAGCTAAGGAAAAGGGGGGGGAAATGGTGGACTGCGTTGTTTGGTGACCCCCGTGAAATAGTCGTTCGACCCCAAATGGGGACCCGACCCACAGGTTGAGAACTGCTGCTCTAGACTATTGGATTACAACTCTTGTTTTCCCAACTGACCTGTGATGGGCCTGGAAATAATGGGAGTTGCCTTTCAGAGTAGGTGGCAGGTGGCCGGACAGGGATGGCTGTTGGAGGATTTGTCTGGGTTTTAAAGTAGCTTGGTGTCCTCCATCTTTATCAGTACTTTGAACAACAGGACTCAGAAGGCGAAGCTTTTTATGGCCAGGTTATAACATAGAGCAGGGGATCAGGAGAACAAAAATCACAGGGTATAAGACCAGCTTTGCCTTTTCCATTTCCAGCTGGCTGTCTTGGCTCATTTCTGCTCCTCTTCTAAGACCTGTTTAAAGTCTCACTCTTGGAAGCCAATGTTGTTATGAATCATGTCCAATAAAGCCTGGATCCTATTATAGGCAGTCCTCAACTTATGACCATAACTGGGAGCAGGATTTCCATTGCTAAGCAAGGTGATTATTAGGTAAATTACCCTTTTTGCCACAGTACTTAAGCCAATCGCTGCAGTTCTTAAGTGAATCACATGATTGCTAAGTGATTCCAGTTTCTCCCATTGACTTAGCTTGCTGAAAGCTGGCTCGGAAGCTCATAAATGGGAATCACATGGCCCTGGGACGCTGCAACCATCACAAATACACATCGATTGCCAAGTGTCTGAATTTTGATCATGTGACCATGGGGATACTGCAATGGTTGTTAGCAGTGGTGGGATTCAAATATGTGAACAACCGATTATCTGTGTGGATGCCACTTCTGGAAGTCCATTCTGGGCCTGGGCAACAAAAAATTAGTTACTGGTTCTGCCGCACTAGTGCGAACCGGCTGAATCCCACTACTGGTTGTAAGTGCGAGCATAGGTTTTCAGCACTGTTGTAACTTTGAACAGTTGCTAAATGAATAGTTGTTAGTCGAGGCCTACCAGTATTTCTAGGACTCTTGTTACATTCACCATCTTGTTATTAAGTCAGGATCTCAGCATAAGCGGTGCTTATTCCAATATAGATATACTTCCACACAACCAAGAATCTCAGATTATTTTAATATCATAACGTTTTCTGATTTTACCATTGTTCTCTTCTGCCCTTTATGCTGCTATCGGGGGTGGGGGAAGTCACCATCTGAAATTAAAATCTCAGTCTGGAGATTGCCTTAAAATGTCAATAAAACTGCTCCTGCATGTATCTAGTTATGAGGAATCTGTGATTCTCCAGATGTTATTGAATTAAAATTCACAGGAGTTCTAGCTAGCATGGTTTATAGGAAGAGATGATGGGAAGTGTACTTCAACAGTAAATTGAGGGCTTCATGTTGATTGTATGGAAGAAGAGGTAGATTGCTTTCAGCTGAGAAAATGTAAGTTATTCAAAAGGATTAATTTAGGAAAGGCTAGAAAACTGCCTCTTGAGCATAGGCTAAATCAACAGCATGTTTTTGAAAAAGGAATGCTGAGGTTAATTTATGAAATGGCATCTGATTACAGAAACTTTGTGTGAATAATGTTTATGAGGTTTTTTTGCTAGCATCTTATTTTAAATTAATTTTTGAGGGAAGCACAGATTTTAATAATGAATCTGTAAAATTTTTAAAAAAACACTTACTGTTGGAAACATTCAGATTAAATTGTCCCAAAGCTGTGTATAGAAATATAATAAAACATTATTTTAGTGGGGGGGGGGGAGAGATATAACTGCTTTAGCAATCATCAGAGCATTACAGCCAAAACATTTGTACTTTTCAGTTGCATAGCAAAAAATGGAAGAAAGAAAAAGAAAAATAGAAAAAAAAGAAAAATACAAAGAATTGGTTTCCAATCTTCTTTACCACCTAGTTGGGTAATGAAACATCTACAAGAAAACTAGCAAGCTTAGAGAGCACCAAGGACCCCTCATTTGAACCCTGAGCTACAACTATTCTCCTTTATTGGTACAATTATATATTTACCTTTTTCTCTACAGCTACAACACATCTATCCTGTCTGAATTTCAAAACTATAAATCATCATTTTTCCGTCTTACATAAAAAGTCAATAAGGATTTTCCAGTCAGCAATAAATGTAGATATTGTCTTTTCTCTAATGAAACTAGTCAATTAAGTCAGCTCAGCATCAGTGATGGGATTCAGCCAGTTTGCACTAGTTTGGCAGAACCGGTAGCTAATTTTTTGTTGCCCAGACCCAGAACGGACTTCCAGAAGTGGCATCCACACAGAGAACCAGTTGTTTACATATTTGAATCCCACCACTGCTCAGCATGTTCCATCATCTTCACCAAAATTTACTCTCTTGTAGGTATTGCAGATCTTTCCATCTTTATGCATACAATAATCTTGCTGTGGTTATCATATTCAGAAACAAAGTTCCATGATGATTTCTGTTTGTCTAACAATCACAAGAGCAAGACTTCTGGTCTTAATTGTATATTAATCTTTAAAATCCTCTGAATGAATCAGTGTATGCATTTGAATCCAAAAATTTTAATGTTTTTTTTTTGCATGTCCATAAAGCATGAGAATGTGACCCATCTTGTTCACATTTTCAACATAAATTTGAAGTGCCTTTATACATTCTAGACAATCTCTCTGGTGACATATAGCAACACTACATCATTGTTCAAAAATTCTCTCTGAAATTATAACATAGTGTAAATTTCAGATCTTTCAACCATATTTTTTCCCATATATTATATATTATAACTAACATTTTTTGCCCACTACATCATACCTTCTTTTACTTCTTCTTGTTTCAAATTTCATTAAAAGTTTATACATTTTAGCAATTGCACATTCAATTTATTTATCATTCATTCATTCATTCATTCATTCATTCATTCATTCATTCATTCATAGCCACCTTTATTGTTTTACCAAATAACCCAAGATGGCAAACATACCTAGTACTTCTTTTTCTTTCTATTTTCCTTACAACAACTCTGTGAGGTGGGTTGGACTGAAAGAAAATGACTGATCCAAAGTCACACGCCTGGCTTATACTGTATATTATATATTAATACATTACAATATAATATAAAGCCACCATAAATGTTCCTCATTTATAAACAATTACATTTCAAAATCATTCTTACAATGTCCAGTACAATAAATTATTTTATCAGCTTTTTATTATTATTATATTATTATTATTTTATTTTATTATTTATTTTATTATTTATTTTATTATTTTATTTTATTTTCTGATAGCTATAAATAAGTCTTGTATTAAAATGTTGCTGCAAAACTTGATCTGCCTTCTTCCTGACAAAGTGCACCAAGTCATCCCTTAGAGCAGAGACCCCAAACCTTTTGGGCACCTGGGACCGGTTCCATAGAAAAAAAAATTCTGTGGACCAGAGGGGGCGTGGTTTCATGTACCGCCTGCACCCCGCACATGAGGCTTTGCTTTTTTGCGCAGACTGGTTTCTGGCATGCCATGGCCCAGTGCTGGTCCACGGACTGGGGGTTGGGGACCCCTGCCTTAGAGCCTTTCTTGTTCTCAGAAATCTTGTATTTATTCTATGTATTTTTATCAATTTCTGCCTCCTCCCATTAGAAAAGAATTTAGAATTTAGAAAGCTTTGATAACCTTTTCTCTAAAATCTTCACTAAGTCCTCTGAAACTGCTCTGAATCTTTTGGGGGGCCTCAGGCCAGTTGGCAGAGCCAAGTTGTAATTGCCACCTCCTGCGGTGACTTCTGTGCTGTAGGATTCATGACCAAACACACAGCTTGAATTCTTTTACTTAGCCTCTCTCCTGGCATTATGTTTCTGCAATTTTCTTTTTGCTGAATTTTTGTCCTCCCTAAATTCTCAAAAGCAATTAGAAGACAATCCCTATTGCCTTGGAATGTCAAGGATGCTTTGAGTTGCTACAGGACCAGCACTAATTAAAATGACCCCCTCTCACCTCCTTGTTAAAGGAAAATAAACATAAGTTGCTTAAACACTACCTTTACTTCCTGCTATGTGCACTTTCCTGATCATATGTAGAGAAATCTCAGTGGTGTGCCATAGGGGTGGTGAAAGGCACACCATTCATTCATTCATTCATTCATTCATTCATTCATTCATTCATTCATTCATTCAATTTATTTGCCACCCATCTCATAACAAAACAACTCTGGGTGGCTGAGTCTTTCCATCTTTCCCTTTTAAAGATCTAAAGCTCAGAAAGCAAATGGCATATCAAGGCAGGAATTCCAACAAAAACTGCAATTTGAAACATACAAATTATTTGGCTCAGCTCTCAAACAGCAATGTTACAGAAACACAGAGACTAGTGTTGTTTTCAAAATTTAGGTGAAAGTGTCCCCTGTAAAATATTATGGTCCATTTCAGATGTATCCAGTTAAAAACTCTTGGTTGTAGAATTAGACAAGGATTTATGACTAAACAGATATGTGGTGTAACTTAGAAAACCTCTACAATGTAATGTTTGAAGTCTGAAATGCTCAATGCCTGGAAGTACTGCAGTGATTCAAATGTTCTTGGTTATATCTTGATTGGGTTTTCCAATTCCAAACTTTGGTTATCTAATGGAATGTGCATCTACAGCAGTTGTTCTCAACCTGTGGGTCGGGACCCCATTTGGGGTCGAACGACCATTTCACGGGGGACTCTTGAATAGAGTCTAATTCTATTGGCTTTCAAAAGCCAATAGGAATTGTCCAGGCTGTCTCTGCCCTGCTGAGCCCGCCAAAAGTCCCATTCTGCAAACGGTGCTGCACCAGTTGAGTAGTCCTCGACTTACGACCGGTTGGGGGTCGCAGCATTAAAAAGGTTGAGAACCACTGATCTACAGCAACAGAGGGGGAGGATTTTGCCAACTTAGAACTTCCCCGAGGGAAACCTGGATCAAGAGATCCAGGTTTCCCTGGAGTGAGATGAGGTTCCGGGTAGTTACACATAGAATCTCTTCAGGTACATCCAGGTTTTTTTTTCTCATAGAACGCCCAGAACGGAGTTCCGGCACCTTTTTTGGATGGAACCTTGTAGGGTAGGCAAGGCGGATTGTATGATGTGTGTGAGTTCCAGCACCTTTTTTTTATTTTTTTATTTAAAAAGCACTGGGTATATCTCCTGGCTTAGAAATTTATAGCTTTAGTTTGGTAAGATTCTGTCTATTAAATGTAAAGAAATACATTTTTGATTGGATTTCACTGTGTCTTCTCTGGACTTGAGCCTGACAACTCTATGGTTTTCCTTGACTAGAAAAATGGAACAAGAAAAGAAATATCTAGAACCTTCAGCCTCTCATACCATTTGTGATTTTTTTGGATTGGTGTCATATATTTTTTCCTTATCATGCTATAAATCTTCACATGGTACCCAGATGATATCCCAGCTTTTGAAATAAGTTAACATATCCTCACTGTTTTGATTATGCTTGAGAAGTAATGTCTGCTATTTTGCCCTTCCTTTTCCACTCCTCTTCCCTCTCTAGGATGTCCTTATTTCTGAGCCCAACACACATGAATCTGGTCCTGCTGAGATACCATCGAAAAGTGTCCCAATAAACCATGTCAAAACAGTAAGTAACAGATAATAAAACTAACCAGAGTGTTGGAAGTGATAGAATCACCAATTGTAGAAGAGACAACATCACTGCAAATTTCTTCTCATTCTGCCCCAAATCAACACCATGTAGATCAGGGGTCTTCAAACTTGGCCCTTTTATGACTTGTGGACTTCAACCCCCAGAATTCCTCAGCCAGCGTGCCTAGCTGAGGAATTCTGGGAGTTGAAGTCCACAAGTCATAAAAGGGCCAAGTTTGAAGACCCCTGATGTAGATGATAAAGAAGCATAGTTTGGAGATCTGTGTGCTGATTATTACTAATTTTCACATGCTTCATTTTTTTTCATAATCTTCCAGCCTAGCTGCAAATTGATCAAATCCTGCTGAACAACAACAAAAATATATAGCCAGTTGCTCTCATAGTAGAATATGGTGAATGAAAGGCTCTGGAACAAGATAGAAACCAATATGAATTATTTTTGGTCTGCCTCAATTAGACCATTTCTGGAGCTTTGAAATTCATCATCTTTGCACATTCCTAATTTGCATCAATTTATAAATTTACCAAGTATTATGTATTAATAATTAGGACATTGACATTTTTTAAAAAAGGGATGATACCTATGACCTTGAAAAAGACTGTAATTCATCCAGTCCTCATACAAACCAAAATAGGTAGTCCTTGACTTATGAATGGTTGCTTAGTGACCATTTGAAGTTATGGCAGACTTCCCAAAAGCTAGACCCAAAGTTATGGCCACTGTAGCACCCCTGAGATTGATCACCTTACAACCAACCACAGGGATACTGCAGCACCTCACCGCCTATCTCCTTCCCCATCTCCCCTCTTGGTGGGATAAGGACTGAAGTGGTTTCCCTTAGTGACTGCTTTGTCAATTGCTAGTCCCGATTATGGTGGCTAAATGAGGATTACCTGTATTGTTATAAGATATGATATACTACAAATGCAGCATTAGTAGCTACTAAAATGCTATAGTAAATCACAAGCATTGTTAAATGCAACATCCAGAAAAGATATGCTACAATGTGTAGTGTGATTACAAGCTGTAAATAAGTTATAGATTTAATGTGCTTAACCTTTGCAGAAGAGAATCTGCAGAACTTTGGGAAGAGATAAAGACAACAACAGCAGAAAAAATTATCACCAGATTTCTAAGTGGAAAAGATCCAAATAGCTGCCAAAACAAGTTATCATGACAGACAAATAAAGATAGTGGATGAATAACTTGAGTCATAAAAAGGATGTATAATCACTGAATGCTGACTCACAATGTCAAACAAGGAAGGACAGAGAAAGATCCCTTAATAAAAAATGTCAAAAAATAGAAGATAATAAGAAGAAAAATTATAGATAATATTAAGAAGACCAGGAAAACCACAAAAAAATTACAGCTCTGACAGGAATAGAAATGACCATACATTTTCAGAAGGAGAATAAATGTTAACTAAACATGATGTATGACAGATAACTGTCAAACATGCAACTATCAAGCATAAATGAATACCCACAAAACAGTCTAACTCCTTTTTCTCTTGCAGCTTCAGAGGGCTGGTTTATGTCACAAAATATGGAAGAAAACTAGAACTCAGAGAGATTAGAAACAATCTATACTGAAGATGGAAGATGCATGAGAATTACAAATGAGCAAACTCTGGTGTTAACTATTCACAAAAGCAATATTTTGTTTAAAATAGAAAGGATAGAAACAATCCTAGAGAGAAAAATGCCGAATGAGTAGACAAGTTTCAGAAAAATGCAGAAGATGTGAAACCAGATAAGGAATATAAGATGGATGATAAGAGAGTAAGACAGTATGATTGTAATCAATAAAGGGAAGAAGCTTACCTTTATTTTATTATTTACGGCAAATGTTTCTGGTTTGTAGATCATGTCAGAAGTAGATTAACAATGATTGGCAATGATTATTCTGGAGAACTTTACAATAACAGAGACTGAAAAACTGAAACTGGAGAAACAGAGTGGTTCAGAATAAATAAGGCAATCAAACAAGATGGGTGTTGTCCCCAATATGTTTATCCAGAAGGATACTCAGATTGGTGGTACTAAAAGCCTCTGTGAAGTCAAGGTGACCCAGCAGAGCCAAACTTTCTCAGTCAAACTTTCTCAGCTCCAAAGATGATTCTTCAGGCCAATCAAGGCACTTTCGTTTTTGTAGCCAATTAGATAGCTCAAAATAATTTGCTTCTTCTAAGACTGTCTGAAGTTAAGAAACCACCACTTTTTCTATCAATTTATCTAACCATACTAGGTGAGATATTGGCTTATAATTGGCATCCCAGGTAGGTTTTTTAAGAAGCAGTTTAATAATTATCTCCTGGGAGGTGTTCTGTTTAATGATGCATTTATGATTTATTTAAGGTGTCTGCAATTTACCTTCCAGCCAGACGTCACAAACCAAATAGGGCAAGTGGTGATGCACCTTGCACACATCCTTGAAAGTCACAAAAACTTAAATTGGTCCAGTCTAATTATACAAGACTGGTTTTATAATAATGGGTTCTTGATCAGACTGGGCTGAATAGGAAAGATCTTATTGAAAAAAAATGTTCCCTGGAAGTATTACAACAAGCCTCTTAAAGGTCTATAATAGAACTCTGAGAGAATGAGGCAGGGGTATAAGTCACTTCCCTTACAACCCCAAACAACTCACAACACATCAATTTGCAGATGCAATATGAAAAATAATATCTGCAGTTTCTACAGCCACAGCACAAAACTTCAGACCGGCTTTGTGTTGTGCCTTCTCAGTTTGAATCTGTAAGGAGCCAAAACACAAATAACTTGTGATATGCAAATAACACCACTTTTTTTGCCCGTAAATAAAGAAGTTTCAGAAGGCCTCATGAGGCAAGATAAAGATAATAAAGATCTCAGCTTATGCTAAATATTTAGAAGTTAAGTCAACCAGCATACCTAGGGAACTTTCAGATGACAGTAAAAAAATGAAGCATAAAGATGATAATGTGCTGAAGAAATATAAAATGTGAACTAGAAAGGAAAGCAATGACAAACTGAGACAAGATCATGCAAGATAAAAATACTGTTTTTGTAATACCAAAAATAAATAAAACTGGTTAAAGTATGGCTATGAAAACTCAACATTGAAAGTGAAATAAAGAGTGGCATGAACCACAATAAAAAAAACAAACAAACAGGTGAAGATCAGCAAACAGAAATGCACCTAGTTTGTGCTGGGCTAAAATGATTATACTTGGCAATGTTGAGGGAAGTAAAAGAAACGGAACACTATTGATAAAATGAAAGGACAGTATCAAAGAGATTTCCAGTTTCTTCTTTAAAAAAGTATAGGTTATTATTAGAGGAGTGAATGTTTGTTGATGTAGTCATTTGGATGATACTATCTTCCCAGTCCAAAAGTGGATCATTTCACTCATAGATATGACAGTCAGTTATCTTTCTAATCGATCTGTTGATGGTATAGTCTAGGGGTAGGCAACCTTGGCTCTTTTTATGACTCGTGGACTTCAACTCCCAGAATTCCTGGGCCAGCATGGGAGTTGAAATCCACGAGTCATAAAAGAGCCAAGGTTGCCTACTTCTGGTATAGTCCATGTTTGTTTGCTAATCTACTCCATATTTCAGTTTTTACACTACCATCCATACAGATGTTTTCCATTTAATCAACTCACCCATTGTCCAAGAACATGGAGTTAAAAACAGATTTGTTTGGGGAAATTTGCACTTTTATGCTGACATTCATACTATAGCAGGGGTCTTCAAACTTGGCCCTATGCTGTCTGAAGAATTCTGGGAGTTGAAGTTCACAAGTCATAAAAGGGCCAAGTTTGAAGACCCCTGTACTATAGCATTGCTTTCCTGAATTAGATGTAGCAAGATGGTGGGGATGTTGGAATGCTCGCTGAACACACCAACCAATCAGCACTTGCCTTCATTGTTTCAGAGTTGGCCTATCAGTGATCACCTTTGGCACTCATCTGCAAATACTGGTTCTCATTGCATGAGAACATGTGCTGATCATGAACTAATAAAATTCACTTTAGTCCCATCTGCATACAATACAGTTAAATAACTAGCTAGAAATTCCCTTTCCATTCTCCTCAGTCCATGTGTCTGGTACAAATCTAATGCAAGCTTAATGGAAGTTAGCTAGCCAGATGTTTGGAAGACCATCTAGGCAGTTAATTTCAAGGTAGTTAATTTCAAGGCAGAAAATCAATGATTAGGGCTCAAGGTGACATGAATAAATTAGTTCCAAGGGCTTTTTTTTTTTTTTTCTGAGAATGCCTTGTTGTGTTGTCCTCACCTGATCCTGCTATTGCAAGATTTATTACATGCATTTCTCCTTAATTTTATCTCTGGAACATATTAACACTGATTGAAAGCTATACAATTTAAATAGTTTGTAAGGCTTTGCCCAGAATATGTTTCGATTTGAGGGAATGTGGTTAATTTTACATTCCTATTTAAGTGAAGAGATTGCTTTTGTGGGTGAAGCTCAACACAGCTCAGTGCGATGACACTGCAGCTTATATCTTTCCCCTCAAATCATCTTCACTTTGCAGTGCTTATGTCAAAGATATACAGGCACTTTTTGGTAGCTGTCAGTGGGAGAACTACAGGTTGAAAATTACAGCAATCTATTTCTCTATATCAGTTAACACTATTGTCTTTTGTAAATAACATGTTGCAAAACTTGATGTGTTTGTTTTCAAATGCCAACGCCAGTATCTCTGGTGGCTTTCTTTTATATATCCAATGTTTTGAGAATATGGAACTTGGTTTATTTTCACACATACAGGTAATCCTTGACTTACAACAGTTCTCTTACTGACTGTTCAAAGTTATAGCATCACTGAAAAATGTGACTTACGGACACTTTTCACACTTAACGACTGTAGCAGCATCCCCGTGGTCACATGATCAAAATTTGGATGCTGAGCAACTGGTTCATATTTATGACAGTTGCAGTGTCCCGGGGTCATGTGATCCCCTTTTGCGACCTTCTGACAGGCAAAGTCAACGGGGAAGCCAGATTCACTTAACAACCACATTACTAACTTAACTGCAGTGATTCACTTAACAACGGTGGCAAGAAAAGTCATAAAATGGGACAAAATTCACTTAAAACTGTCTCACTTAGCAACAGACATTTTGGACTCAATTGTGGTTGTTAAGTTGAGGACTACCTGTACATATTACTTTATTTATCTGCCGCTTTTCATTCAGAAGCTCAAAGTAGGCCGCATAACCCCGACTCCCTCAGGAACTCTGTGAGATATATTTGAGCATTCAGAGATGGAAATGATCACTGTTCTCACAGGATTGTCCCCCAAGGAGAGATTTGTGATGTATCATTAGCTTTCCTTTTCGGATTTTCGTATCCAATGCCTGTTTTCTTTTCTCTGCTTTCCAATGGCATTCTAGATACCTCGAATCATCTTAACGCACCCTTCTACTTCAGATGAAGATCCGGACCAGATCACCCAGGATCTCGATGACTCTGGGCCAGAGGAGCTGAAGAACACAGAAGGCCATATTTATTCAGACTGTTTAAATCACGCTTTCTATCCTTCTTAATAAAATATTCTTTTTAGAAATGATGGGATGCTGACCTTAATTTGCAAATGGCTTCCTCTTACTTAGCTCCTAACTGGGGTGCAATGGGCTGCCCTATTACTGTCTATTTGTCTGGACCTGTAAGTGGAAAACTGAATTCATCAACTGGAAGCATATTATTTTTGAGAAAAATTGAGAACATTTGAAAGTTCAGCTCAGGTAAATTTTAATTAGAATAGTGTCATCATTCATACAGACAGAACTCTTTTTAATTGGTTGGGGTTCACAGATTAATTGTGAAACAAGGCAAGCTCATTTTGTGTAGGTTTTTAAAATTTTCATACATGAAACTGCATTCTCCATTCCAACTATGCATAAGATGCTACATTTAACAATCAGCAAGTGAGTTTCTAGCAGGGAAACCCTGCTGAGCTCTGCCTCATATTACTTAAATCTTTGCTTCTTTGAGGAGCAATCAAGGCAGTTCCTATTATCCCAACCAATTTACCTCATGACAGGAGCTCTGCGTGATCAGATTCTCTGACTTTTTTCAAAAATCTCAAAGACCTGTACAGATAGTCCTCAACTTACTACTGTAAAGGAGCCTGGCATTTCTGTCATGTTATGACAGTCTTAAGTTGAGACATCCATGTGACTGAACCAATTTTATGACCGTTTTTGTGGAGGTTGTTAAGCAAACACTATAATTGTTCAGGGACCCAATATATTACTTTGGCTATTTTTTGCCAGAAACTAGCTGAAAAAGCCAGTTTCCAGGGGGAAAAATGACATCCTATCGCATGGCTGTAGAATGCTGCAGTTGGCCAAATCAGTTACAAGTACCCAAAATGTTGTGTGATTGTGAGATAATAAGGGGTACCGGCATCAGAATTCTGGAACTGGTTGAATCTTGGCCATCCTGCCCTTGGAACAATGAAGACCATACCTTTCCAATTGTTCTTGCAAAGAAAAGTCAGCCCAGGCATGCAGAGCAAAGCTTTGGTTCTTCAAGATCCCTCTCTTCTGGGAAAGCACAACCACAATTTTCTTACTATTTTACCTTTAGCCACGAGGTGGTAACCAATCCTTGTAGAGTTCCTATTCAGGCATTTTCAGCTATTGGAACCAACCAACCAAAAGCAAAGCTTAGACACTATCCATATTTCAAGCTGATTCTCCCTGTTCTCTCTCTCTCTCTTTCTCTTTCTGGCAAAAATATTAAAAAGCACATTGCAATTATGTCTTAATGAGCAAATATAAGGCTATTTACTCTATTTAGAAATTCAAAGGTAGACTATTTGGTCAATATATGATGGAGTCTTGTACAGAATGTCTCTGGAGTTTCCTGATATGTGCTTAAGGGCACAATATGTCTGACTGTCTGCTTTGGAGCATCACAGCTACATTCTGAAGATGGGAGCTTTCCCCATTTATGGAAGAGGTTAGTGCACCTGCCATGCTGAATCCTAATCCTATTAAGGATTGGCCAGGTCTTACAGGGTAGATTGAATCCTTTTGGTTCAGCCATGAAGAAGGGAATGATGGGACACTCTGCAGGAGCCATGGAGAACCATTCTTGCAGCCAGGCCTGAAGCAGATTGAAGTTCTTATCCAGCACGTTTCTGGCTATCCTAATAGGTGGATGTCTGGAGCAAAGCCTGTTATTTATTATATCAATGATATCTGCATGGATTGGCAGATGAATATTGATCCTTCCCGCAAAACTACCCTTCTGGTGAGTAGCATTCAGAACAGCTGGGCAACTCTTCCTCCCAAGCTCCTCCTCCCTCTCCTTCTGCTGTTCCCAGACAGTATTGTCCTAAGAGTGACGGGAACAGTTGCTGTTGCAGGCATGTGGAATGTGCTCTTTCACAAGCTTAACTTCCCTCTTCGCCTCAGATTTTGTATCAGTTGAAAGGTAGGAACGCCTGAGGATAACCAGAGCCTTTCGTTTCCATTGAAATCCATCTACGGGCAGAGTGTAATTTCAGCCAAGGGGTCACCAGGCCCTCCTCAGGAACATATTTGAATGATCCTGAGCATGTTCAGAATGTACTTCCCTCAGTATTGACCAACCACAGCCAGCCTCAATACTTCTAGAATTATGAAATGATGCTTCTTGCTAGCTACTATTTCCAGCCTTCCTTATCTTTGGTACGTCAGTTTTTAGATGGTTCAGATATCTGTTTTCTTCATGAAAATAGTAGAAAGATGAAGGAGAGGAGGAGGAGGAGGAGGCCTGTTTCATTACAGTGATACACATATCAAAAAGGTCACCTGATAATATCCTCTCCATCTTTTTGCTTGTTATAGGGAGGCCCTGAAGAGAGGATGTGCTGTTGAGAGACTTTATCAGCAGTACTGAACATGGATGCCCCCTTCTGAAGGCTTCCAGTTTTTGAGATCCAGGAGGCCTAGCTCTTGCAAGAAGTAGGTCACAATCTGCAGGACTTGTTGAAGCTTTGCACACCGGGCTCAGCCTTTACGGTATTCTGAACAGGTTAGCAGAGGATACATACATACACATGTTATAAATGTCTGGGCTATCTGAGACAAGCAGCTATCGTCCATTTAGGAACCAGGAAGGGATTTAAGTTCACTAAAGGTGAGATGGAGCATGTTTTCTGCCTTCTTTGAAAGTGGTGCCTTGAGGAAATTATAAAGCATTTGTCACAACTGCAGAGAGCAAGACCTGGATCAAAAGGAAGTTTGAGGAACTGGCACCGGGAAGCACTACAAACTGTAAAAATCATCTTGCAGATTTAGGCAATTGCCAGGAACAGACACTCATGATTCAGGATTTTGCTGGAACATTTGGCTGAGTGGAAACATCACTGGGGATGGAAGAATCAAGGGGCAGCTTCACATGGAATAGACATTATGACTTAAACCATAGCTCTTCTGCCATTATTGTAATCAAATTAAAATATGAATTTGTGTGTGTGTGTGTGTGTGGGTGTACATACTGATCTGAATCTGAAGTGGGATACCTTAATCAATTATGTTCCCTTACCTAGCAAGAAGCATTTGCCAAGTGAAGATTCTTTAAATCTGCATCCAGTTAGTATTGTATTCACTTATGAATCATGAGAACATTCATTTGGAGTTAGATAAATTGTTTTACAGGTAAGCCACATGCCAGCTGGTTAAATTAGGGTACAAAATCTAATCATATATTTTCTAAAAGTTATGACAGCTGAATTTCTGCTTCTTCCCATCTTTCCCCACTTGGCTTGGATGATAATTCTAATACATCCCAGCCAGAATGGTAAGTAGCCAAAGATAATGGGAAATTCCACTTGTAAATATCTGAAGAGCCCACTTGGGAAAAAAATGGAAACTCTCTTACACTACAGTGCATCCAGCTATGGCAGAAGCTTTTTTATATACTCACCTAAGTCATATATTCATATAGCAGCCTATAAAATAAGAATGACATAAAAACACTAGCCACATACTAGGAAGGTAAAAGCAGCAACAAAAACAAAGAATTCCACCAGACCCCCAAAACTAAAATCACGTGTAATATTAAGCATCTGCCAATAGAATGCTTTTCTAAAAAAAAGAGGTGGCTATATATTCCGAATAAATATAGATGATAGATTTGACCACTTGTACCACCATATTTCACAGATACTGAAGAGTTTTATTTGTCTGATTAAGGCTATAATATAGTCCCACAAACACTCAAGAGCATCCTCTTCTCCACCAAAAGTAAGAACAGTTTATTCCGCCCAAGGAAAACAGTACACATATATAGCCATCATGCTATTTTTTTCCAGAGTGTGGCAATGCACCACATATAGCTCCTTGATATTGGGATGTGGGAAACAGTATTTATTAATCAAATCTATATAGCCACCCATCTCACAAGACTTTGGGCAGCATACAATAGTCATTAAAAAGAATACATGTATAAAAACAGACATTAAAAAAATAGAAAATCAGCATTAAAAATGAATATTTGGTGGCCATCTAAGATCGTTTCCAGATTAGAAACCCTATTTTGCCTGGAATAGTGTGAGCATGTTTAGAATGAACCTGGGCTTTGGCTGCTCTTAGGGCAGTGTTTCTCAACCTTGACAATTTTAAGGCATGTGGACTTCAACATTCAACATTCAACATTCAGCTTTGCTGGCTGTGGAATTCTGGGAGTTGAAGTCCACATGCCTTAAAATTGTCAAGGTTGAGAAACACTGTCTTAGGGCATCCTGGCTAAAATTTGCCCCAAATGACTGCTAAGGTCCTTAACAGAAGCAGAGGAAGCTCCGTGTGCTGCTGGTAAAAGAAGTCTGCTATCTTCATCCACGCCTTTTTTTGTCTTACTAAAAAGGATTGGATAAAAGCATTAGGTAACAATGGCTCCAAGATTCAATCTTGTACAATTTGAAAACCAAGAGCAGTGAAAAGGACAGGATCTGATTTCTTTAGAGACATTCCCATTGTATTTCAGACTGTCCCAGTGCTAGGCTGCATTAACAGAGGAATAGAATCAAGATCACGTGAAGTGTTACTACCACTTTACAATGCCTTGGTAAGGCCACACTTGGAATACTGCATCCAGTTTTGGTCACCACGATGTAAAAAAGATGTTGAGCCTCTAGAAAGAGTACAGAAAAGAGCAACAGAGATGATCAGGGGACTGGAGGCTAAACCATATAAAGAACGGTTGCTGGAATTAGGTATGTCTAGTTTAACAAAGAGAAGGACGAGGGGGGACATGATAGCAGTGTTCCAATATCTCAGGGGTTGCCACAAAGAAGAGGGAGTCAAGCTATTTTCCAAAGCGCCTGAAGGCAGGACAAGAAGCAATGGAGGGAAACTAACCAAAGAGAGAAGCAACCTAGAACTAAGGAGAAACTTCCTGACAGTTAGAACAATTAATCAGTGGAACAACTTGCCTCCAGAAGCTGTGAATGCTCCAACACTGGAAGTTTTTAAGAGACTGGACAGCCATTTGTCAGAAATGGTATAGGGTTTCCTGCCCAAGCAGGGGGTTAGACTAGATGACCTCAAAGGTC